TTTCGCTAAATATGGCGGAACAAAACAGCGCACATTTGCATAAAATCTGCCGATGGCCGATCCCGATTCGATTTTCAGCAAACTTCAACCTCTTTCCTCCGAAATCCATTCTCTCCTGTTCGATTTTTGTGCAAACCGATTCTTTCAATGGGGAATCGACTTTCGATCCGCGTTGACCGATTTATTTGTCAAAGTCGTTCGTTTAACGGAGGATTCAACAGGGGTCAACGTTCGAAGGGATTTAGAAAGTCCACTTCCGGGGGAAAAGATCGATTTTCTAAAAATCGAGTCGAGATCGCTCGTCACTGGTATAAGACCCCGAGACCCCGATCGCTTCAACGTTATCGACTTCGCTTTAACGTTCGTCAAGCGCTTCGGCATCTGTTCAATAACAGCTGAGTAATGATTCGCGCCGTTGTGGCGCGGTAAAAATCAGTCCCTTCTGTTCCCTGTCTCGGTCTTCCCTCGACTGCGTCTACACAAATCCGTCCGAACGAACGTTCAAACGCGAAATCCCGTTCCGACGTTCTCGATCCCGGCGTCTTCAGCTCCTGGACCGGCTGAGAGGAGATACCTTCAGAATGTATTAACGGAATGTGTGTGAGCGCGCCCGTACACGCGCTACATTTTTCTCACTGTGTACCCGTGGAACGGTATAAATCCAGAACGCTCGTTTGTCTCGAGTTTTTCGGCCGTCCTGTCAAAAGTGAGACTCGCGTGTCTGTCGCGAGCGGCGCTCGCTTCGCCGCGTCAGCCAGGCGTCCAATTTCATTGTTGATAATACGATTGCGCTTCATGATAAGTTCCTCGCTCCGTGATAATTCACACTTGAGGCGTTGTTCATAGTCGAACGTTTAAAGTCGTCTTGAGTTCATCTTTTAGCTGAACGTCATTAGCTACGAAGCATCTGAAGGCAGACTGTATAAGAACGCTGTTCTTTCCTTGGTTGAACCAGTATTGCTTTCGGGACTTTGTTTCTTCTCCCTCCAACGTTGGATTATATACAGACCTGTTTCGCTCAAAAGAGACGAAAAGTTGAGCTGAAGAGACCTGAGGTCGGGCTATAGGCGGTATTCATAGTCGGGTCTTATATTTAAGATCGTATGTTATATTGACTGCGTAGCGTCTACAGATAAAGACAATCTTAAGTACAAGATTCGACTGTAAGTAGTCGAGTCCGTATTCGGCCTTGGAATTTCAAATAGTATTGCAACTATTTCTGGATAGACTTTCGTGATTGCGAGATAATCGAGTGTGTGTGTGTGTGTGATGGAAACCTTGCAACTTTTGAATTACATCTACGAGGCAAATATGCTGCATCGAATTGATCATGAAATTTGCACGATGTAAATTTTACATCATATTGACGCGGTAACAAATTTACTAAAAGTCACATTGAATTTTCACACTGCTGCATTTTACATGTCCTGAGCAAATTTTCATCAACTTTTTCATATCCCTCGTCACCCCTGTTTCTACTTCGTCACTTTGTGCGATAAATACTTACCGCGTGCAACCTTTCCAAATCGACCGGTAAAGTCGCTGCCAAATTTACATGTACGTCGTCCATCCAGATACATAAAAGATCTGTGCTTGAGTGAGCCGATTATCTGGCGACACACGAACGATTCAGAAACCCCGGCTGAAAGTAAGACAGAATTCTGCGTTTCAATTAAGCAGATTGATCGTTTGGACTGGATTCCGATAACCTCGAGCAGAATTTCCGGATGTCGTTTATACCTGAGAGGAAAATTCTTTCATCCGGTCGGGCATTTTTCTCCGAGACAATAAACCACGACGCACGCGTCCGAATTAGACGGAGACGCGAAGGCCGTAGGGCAGGTCGGCACACGGTCGCGCAGAGGAGTCTAGTCAGCGAACTCGGGATCGACGAGAAAAATCGCTGGGATCATCGTACGCGGAAGGTGTGCGCGCGAGCGCGGCGATTCGGTAGCGGAACGTGGATTACCGCGCAAAGCTCCCCGCTCGACCGCTGCTTCGCGCGCGAAGCTGTCCTGTAGTCGACTCGCGCGAGCGGCGCGTACCTACACTCGCCGTATAGGCGACGAGTCATCGGGAGAGACGTATCGATACAGACACGCATACCTGCCCGGCTGCCTGCCTGCCTGCCCCGCTGGTGCATAAGTTCTCCGGAGGGCACACATGTAGAAACGCTACATGCGGCTAGCCAGGTTTGGTAGTAGGGGTCTGTGTACGTCCCGGTAGCGACAACACACAGCGGCGTCGGGAGCAGCCGACAACGGAAGACGGAGAACGACGCCGTGGCGGAAAGAGCCGGGCGGCAGACAAAGAGAGACGGAGATAAACCCGCCGAGAGGGTGAGCGAACGGCTAGGGGAGCGAGGAAGGGGTAAGAGAGAGAGAGAGAGAGAGAGAGAGAGAGAGAGAGAGAGAGAGAGAGAGGTAGACGACAGACGCGCCGGTTTCTCGGATCCGAGTAACGCGTATGAGGACGAGAAAGAGAGAGAGAGAGAGAGAGAGAGAGAGAGAAAGACGCGTTGCGGTGGCGTCATGGGTACGAGAGAATACGAGAAGGACAGATGGAGTAAAGGAGAGAGCGAGCGAGCGAGCGAGCGAGCGAGCGAGCGAGAGAGAAAGAGAAAGGGGGAGAGAGAGAGAGAGAGAGAGAGAGAGAGAGAGGGGGGAGAGAGAGAGAGAGAGAGAAGGAGAGTGAGGTCCTTTCCCTCTATCATACGGCTCCACCCACACGCCGCCACTGCCGCCGCCGCCGCCGCCGCCGCCGCCGTGGAGGCGCGCAATCTGGCAACAGTGGCTCGCTATAACCGATATTGTGGCCGTGGATTGAATGGAGGGGAACTAGAGCTCAGGTCAAACCGCCCCACCGGCAGCGACAACTCCTCTCGGTCGCACGGAGGAGAGCGACCCCTCGCTCACGCGCTGCCTCAACCCCTGCGCATCCTGTGCGCTCCGTCTCGTTCTCGCACACGCCCTTCCACCCCTGCCCGTCCGTCGCGCTTCTCGCTCCTTCCCCTCGCTCGGCGCAGACGCGTCTCTCTTCTGCCTACGTCTGCACCCTACCAACCCGACGGCGGCGGCGGTGACGGAGCATACGCGTCTGCCGCAACGTACACGGCTCGTCAATGATACCACTCATAATTCCGGTCTGGGTATCTTAGGGACAAATGTGCGTAGGTACGTCGCGTTGTTCGGGCCGGTCGTTCCTCCATCGGCAATTTTTCACTAGTCGCTGAGGCGCGGCTCGCGCTTCGCCAGACGGACGATCCCGTTCGCAGCGCGGAGCGCCGTGAGAGCATCATTGTCGCGCTCTATACACGTGTCGCCGTCGCCGCGCTTCCTTCCCGCCAGATGGCGGCCGAGCATGCACAGGCGTAACCGCACGTGTGTGCGTGTCACGTTGTCCCCACCCGACGCAGTGGCGCGCACACTCGGCCGTCGTAGCGAGGAACGCCGTAGCGGCGATCACCACTACAGCGATAACGGTGCTCGTGCCGTTCGCATGTATTGCTACCACCACGAGCACCGTCAGCGGTGAGTTTCACCCAACCGTGGGCTACAACGTACGTATACACGCACATACTTTTGGTCTATGTGCGTGCGCAGGAGAGACGCGAGATCATGACGACGACGACGCGGGACAAGGACACACAGGCCGCCGTGCGTTCCGGCGAGGGCGAGAAAGAGCGAGAGAGCGAGAGAGAGAGAGAGAGAGAGAGAGCGAGAAAGAGAGAGAGAGAGAGAGAGAGAGAGAGAGAGAGAGAGAGAGAGAGAGAAGTCTGCTGCTGCTGTGATAAGGAACAGAAGAGAGAGAAGCAGCGACGAGGCCGGAGGGATAGAGGGAGGGAGGGAAAGAGAGAAAGAGAGAGAGAGCGCGCGCGAGAACGAAGAAGGAAGACGAGCGGGAGAAGGGACTGAGGGGGCGGGGATGGACGAATGAGCGAGAGCAACGTCGTCGTCGGTCCCAACAGCCTCTCACTAGACAGTATTACTTTCAACCGTTTAGCGGGGCCAATGCTACCTGGCGCGCAGAGTAGTCACTCAGCCGAGCAGTCGGAATCAGCCGTCCGGGGAATACCAAGAGGACGCCTCTCTCTTCTCTCCTCCCTATTGCTCTTCCTGTTTCTTTTTATTATCTCGTTCCCCGCGTCGCGTGCTTCCGCGTGCGCCGCTTGAGCCGAGAGCGAGCGGGTGAGAACGAGAGAGAGAAAGAGGGGGGAGGGAGGGAGAGAGAGAGACCCTGAGAAGAGCGCTTATCTTATCGGCCGACTCGTCGGCATACGGAACGCGTATATTCACAAGTTCGTCGCGGCGCTAAATAAATCGAATTACGCTCGCTCGACGCCGCCGCCGCCGTCGCCGCATCCCGTCGTCCACGTGCCTCGCGGGGAGCGAAGCTCGCGGCGGCTTCCGCACCGACGCTGCGCCCGTGACAGACTGAGGCGCGCGGCCGCCGCGGCCGGTGGATATAAATAAAGTTTCCGCGGGAGTACGCTCTCTCTCTCTCTCTCTCTCTCTCTCTCTCTCTCTCTCTCTCTCTCTCTCTCTCTCTCTCGCGTGTACGTGCGTATGCGCGCGCGAGAGCGAGGAAGAAAGAAAGAAAGAGGCGAAACAACGCGCGCGGCGGCGGGAAAGAGGGAGAACGCGGCGCACGGTTGCTCTCGTAGCCGTTTCGTGTCTCGGGTTCCCTCCGTCGTCGTGAGAGAAGAACGCGCCCGTCGCTACTCGTCTCCTCGGCTGCGAGAGAACGCGTACACGCGTTCTCGTTCTCTCTCTCTCTTTCTCTTTTGCACAGCGAGGAGAATCCCGCGGCGCGGAAAAGCGCCGCGCTCCGTCGCGGCAGCACGCCGGCGAGAGCGCACTCCGCACGCAGCCGGTATCGGCCACGGCGCGCGGAGGAGTAAGAGAGAATCCCCTCTCCGGCCGCGCGCTCGGCCGGCGTGCGTCGGGGTGGGGGGGGCGCGGCGCATCGCGTCGGAGTCGCACGCGCGTGCAAGACTCTACGACCGGTTGTGGCCTGTAGTCGGCTTCAGTCGGCTCGTAGCTGGTGCGGAGCGCGTTTGTTGTGCGTTCCACACTCTCTCTCTCTTTCTCTCTCTCTCTCTCTCACTCACATACGCTTCCGTTCGCCTCGCGCGCGCGTTCTCTCCTACTCGGTATTGTCGCCAACGTCTCGTCGTCGTCGTCGTCGTCGTCGTCGTCGTCACCGTCTCGTCTATTCTCGCGTGTCGCGCCTGTAACGAGGTGATGAACGGCCGGTGGCATCGCGGATCGTGGCCACGCCGAGCGGCCGAGTGACAGTGCCCGGTCGTCCTGCCTGTCCTGGCGACGGACGATGACCATTAACGTGGGGGACAGCTACGACGCTGCGTTCGCTCGTGGATGCGCGCGACGGGAAATAGTGTGCTCTGTGTGATCTACGTTCCTCTCTTTTCTCTCCAGTGTGTTGACGTCTCGCACCGTCGCTACGTCGCACCGGATACGCGTTCCTGCGCGGCGAATCGTGTGTGTATATATGTATAGCTACATATATATATAGGCGAGTACGCGCGTGCATACGTCTCCTTGTCTCGCTTTCTCTCTCTCTCTCTCTCTCTCTATCTCTTTATCTCTATCTATCTCGCTGACCGCGTGTGTGCACCGTACACTGCATGTCTTGGATTATACACCGTCAGCGAGCAGCGGAGAATCAGCCGGCCGCCCCGCTCGAGGATAATAATTACGACCGCCGGTGTCCTCCACAAGGTGAGTGGTTCTTTGCTCCAGCTGATGCTTCTCGACTCCGCGATACCCCGGGGAACCGTGCGACCCGCAGCGGCGCTTTCTTTTCTCGTCTTGCAGCGTCGTTGCAGCGAAGACGCCGAAGACGTTTCGAAAGCCGCGTCGCGCACAGACTTTCAAGACGGATCGAACAAGACGTTGGACACGCTTCTCCCAAGTGAGATCTCCTGAAGGATTACCTGAAGGACTTTGTCCCCTTCGGGGCGACCGTGTTTGTTTTTGAATGGTTCCCGGAATTCGGGGGTTATCTCTCCCACGGGACGTCCGGAGCTTTCGAGGCGTTCCGGGAGAAATGTGCAAAGCCCAAGCAGCGAAACCGAATGTGCACGTCGTGGTCGACCGTGTGATCTCCTCCGAGTCGGCTGTGCCTCTCTCTCTCTCTCTCTCCCTCTCTCTCTCTCGCGCTCTCGCCGTTTATTTCCAACAACCTCCCGTCAGTTCGCCCCGGAGTCGAAGTGGATCGCTTTCTAAGTGATAACGAATCTCGCGAGCGACTCTCTCGCTGCGCGCTTTGATCGATCGAAGATACGACGGGATCGCGTCTTGGATGAAACTTCGCCAATCGGGCCTTGTTATCCTACGCCTCATCGCCGAACTTCCCTCGTTGACTCTCCCTCGTCGGCATCTCCGCGAAGCGTGATCGCCGCGTCGAAGTCTCCCCCGACTGCCGCGATTCGAGTCGGCTCCTGCTCGCTTTCCATCTCCCTCGAGCCGCTCCTTTCGTCCCGAAGGTGATATACATGAATATTTTCTCCGGCGGCACCTTCTTCCTCCCCGACCTCCGCAAGTCATTTCATTCTTCTGCTGAAGGTGAACTTCGCCTCTCGAGGCAGCTCCGGCCTCCGTCTTACCTCCGATCTGAGGAAATTAATGAGAAATAAAATGTAATTGTAAATTTATACGGACGAAGAGGGTCGAAGGGAAAGGGGAAAGAAGCCAGGGGGCGAAAAGGGGTTGAGGAAGCAGTGAGAAGAGGAAGGGAGAGTCATCGATCATCATCGGCCGCTCGCGTTTCGCAAAGTTACAAAACGCGTAATAATAGACAGCCCGATCCGCGCGCGATGCCAAGAGCGACCGAGAGGGTCTGACTCTCTCGAGAGCGCGTCGCTCATTCGGAGATTCCGCGGAAATTTGCCGCCCGCGGCGCGTTTATGCCGCAGATTTTTCCCAGCGATGTCGCGCGTATGGCATACTCGCCGAGAAGCCGAGCCTTGAATTCGCCGAAACGGCGCACAGTCTGTTGATATTTACCGCCGTCTTTCTCCGCTCTTCTCTCTCTCTCTCTCTCTCTCTCCCCTGGCGCGCGCGCTCGACACGAGATCCCGCATCGATCGGCGAGAAACGCCCGCGATCTCTCGTCGCGCGCCGTTCTCGAGCTCGTTATTACATCTCGCGGCGCTGGATATTCCGACCGGCGCGGCTCGACTCGGCTCGCTTCTCGGCTCTAGGCGCTTTCACAACGGGTGATTGTTCTAAAGATGTGTCATTCCATCCTGCTCCGCCACCGCCGCCGCCGCCGCCGTCGCCGCCGCGGTCGTCGTCGTTGGGCTCGGTTGGGCCGCGTGAGCGAGAAAAAGACGCGAGACACGCGGCGACGAGGAGCGACGGAGAAGGCAAGAACGAGAGGAACAGAGCAGCGGCGGAACGAGGTGGTGGCGGAGGAGCGGGCCGAGGACGAGGAGGAGGAGGAGGAAGGAGAACCGCCGGAGGAAGCGATCATCCGTCCTACGGAAAGACGCGCGCGCGACTCTCGGAGAGACGAGGAGAGGCGAAGAGCCGTGTCCATCCGTAAATCTCCGATGGCTCTCTTCTTTGTAGGTCACCGAGCGTTACGATCGTCCGCACGCGCCCCCGACACCTTCGAAGTCCCCCCCCCCACGCCGGGGTCGTCGAGATGTCGCGAGCGGGTCTTGAGATCGCCTCGAATAACGCGCGCGAGACTTTTGCCAAGGAGAGAAGTTCGGGAGGTTCTCTCGGGAGAAACGGACCGGACGCGACCTCTGAGTCCCCATGAGTCGAGAATTCCGCACCAGCTTCGCCGGAGAAACGGAGCTTCCGCTTCTCCTGAAGGCAAATTCGGCCCGCGAGTTTCGGCGAGTTGACGAAGGTGCGCGGGGGAGGAAGTTCGATTCGATTTCACGACGATGTATAAGCGAAATGCGTGCGTTTGGACCGAGAGGGGAGGGGGGAATCTCGAGTTCTCGCGAAACTCGATTTCGAGGTATCGAGATATCGAGGAAGTGCCGCTCGGCCCGCGCTTATTGTTGCTCTAATTCGACAGATGTTTTTCCCTCCCGATTCCGGCGACTTCTTTGTCTATTTATTTATTTATTTATTCATAATATGCAGGTGTAAACCCTTTGATGTACATTGCTTGAAAATGATAACAACCTAGGAAATCTTGATACAGTTAAGATGCAAATTTTAATTAAAATATTAGTTAAAATACAAATTTTCCGTCTTTTTTTTTTTTTTATATCACATAATATTATGCCGATTGTAAATTCTGCATTGTTACGGAACGAATTACTGTAGTCCTAAATGTACAAAAGGAATCATGAAAGATATCTGAATTATTTATACAAGTATTAGCGAGACGACAAATCCGAGTAATACTGTGGAATTTACCATAATCCGTTCGATGATTCGTTCAATATGAAATATATTGGAAGAGCGAACGCATTTAGACGATACATGAAGCCCGCAGAGTTCTTGCCGAACGCGTCTCGCCTGTCCTCGGGTGCTTCGACTGACGGCACTCGTTATCTCGAAGGATCGCGCGGGTTGACTTGAAATAAAATTAATACCGAGCACGTGTTAGCAACACTCGCGTGTGATCCCGCGGCCGCACTTGTCGGCGGCTCGTGCGAGAAGTAATTTCGAATTCTTCCGTACGGCAGAATGAGGCGATTCGCATTCACGTGTCGTGACGATTTTGCGCAGGGTAAACGAGGTGAAAACGGCGCGTGTACATTCTGTATCTTGTAAAGTCACGACGACGTAAAAATACTAGGTTGCCGCGCCACGTTGACAGAATTATCCAACTTCAAGGGATTCCTGATTCTCCGGCCGATCAAACGAACGATGTCGACTCGCTATTTTTTTCATGTTCAACGAGGACTTCCTCTGCCCCTCTTAACCTCCTCTCCGCTACGACGGATACGATTACATACCGATATGTGTATATAAAAATTGCTGTATCGATGAAAAGTGACAGATTTTCTGGAGATTAGATGATTCCGTTACTAAAGTTGCGACGCATCTTTGTTAGATTATGTCAGTATTGGTCGAAATCTGCGTAGAAACTGATGCATAATAAGTCATATTCATTGACACAAACATTTTTAATTTGTACGAAGGTGGAAGCCGATAAGACGCATATTCGTCTTCGTCATCGTCTGCTTTTTTACTTCATCGGCGCAAAACAGCGCTGCCGAAGCAATCGGAATCACTAACGAAACTTATGGCGTGGGAACGATAACTGAAAGTTCATGTCACGAGTGATTTCGGCGACTTTAAAAGTGGTGATTTGACTTGAAAGACGAGGAGCGTGCCGGGCGACCGCGAGAAATGAGTTCGGATAACTTGGAAGCGTTATTGCGAGAAGATTCGATTCAATCGAGTGTAGAACTTGCGAGAAGGTTACATGTTAATCAGAGCAGCACCGTAATTCGATGCTTGCATGAGATGAGGGGAAAATTCTGAAGGAGGGAAAATGCGTTCCCCATGAATTATCCGAGAACGCTATCGAGCCAGCCGAGTCACCGTTTGCCTTTCGCCGCTTAATAGACACAAGCACAAGTCTTTTTTGTATCGAATTATGACCGGAGACGAAAAGTGGATTTATTATGACAATCCCAATCGCAAAAGATCGTGGGTGAATCCCGGAGAACCTTCTACGTCACAGCCAAAATGAATTATGATATCCATGGTATCATAAGATCCTCCTGCGTGGACCTGGTAGGATAAGCAAGGAGCGCTGTATTAGGAGCTGTTAAAACCATCTCGGACTGTCACCGCGGAATTATACAGTCGACAATCGAGACAGTTGAGTGAGTAATTGATCGAGAAACGGCCATATTTCGCGACAAAGCAGAACAAAGTGATTCTTCCGTGTGATAATGCCGGGCCCCCCCTATGTCGCATCGACGATCCGGGAAACTTTAATGGAATTGCAATGGCAAGTCCTACCGCAGCCTATTCCCCAGATATTGCCCCATCGGATTTTCACTTATTTCGCTCAATTCAGCGCGGTCTTTTTCTGGAACACGATTTCGCAATGTTGAGGAAGCACGACAATTCATCGATAATTTTGGTCATTTCAAGAGCAAAGGCTTCTTTTATCATGGTATCCATTTTTTGCCGGAAAGATTTCAAGAGTAGCAGATAACGCCGGAAAATATTTTGACCAAAGATTACTGTGTCACTAGTCCTTTTCCTTCTTTTTTTTTTATTGTTGTATCAGGCGGTGATTTTAGGCGACTTCTTCCAATCAAGATACGAAGTATTCGAAGTGAAACTGTTAAACTTTCTATTAAATTATTAAACGCTTTCTCTTCTTCTTTTTTTTTTTTATTATTATTAAACGCTCACTCAGTCGTCATATTTTTGCTAAGGCTGAAGCTCCATGACACATATTGTATGCGTAACTCGTATCGCATAACTAATCGTATCTGTCAATCTTTTAGGATGTTCTAATAGAAATGTTAAACGTTGACATTAATCCATATTACATTATAGAGATTATTTTTATGATTTCTAATATTTACTGTAGCACGCGCTTGTATTGTTCTAATTTCTCCTTTTTTATCAAATGTAATGTATCGAATTTATATCGAAATGTTGAAGCCTCTTTTCCGCGATGTTGATTGGTTGTCGCGTCGCGCCTTATTTGATCGCACATGCACCGTCATGTGCATTTTGACAGTTGGTGGTTACTCGTGGTTAAACCTCACAAGATTGAC